ATTCATGTTTAAAGGAATAATTACGTAAACAAAATTCACTTAATATTCTAAAGCTCTTCATATATTTATCATAATCTTCATTATATTACATTTTGTTGCAAATGCTAAAAAGTCAAATTAGACAAATTTTGTATTGGTATTATGATCAAATTATTTACGTATAAATATATATTATTGTATTTTTCAATATTTAATAGATATTGTTGATATGCAGAACCTCAGTCCTTGAATGCACTGTTTTGGAACTTAGAACTGAGTTGCAACCAGCACAGCTTATGTCTCTAATAGTGCAAATAATCAGTGACAGAGGACATACTGTTACAAGAGAATGTTTCATTTTCAATTATTGTAATTCTTACCATTATCAAACTAATTCATTAAATAAACGGGTCAATGAAGTTAATTATCGAGATTTTTCTAAAAAGGCTAATATAAAATTTACTATTGAAATAAAAGTGCTTACTCATGGAATAGGAAATCTTGCTACTATTGTATTAAAAAGCAAGAATATAAAAAATGCTGATTTAATTATAAAACATGTCTTGCAAATAAGTTTTTTGTGTCAATTTCCATAATATTAAAGCAACAAAGAACCATCTCTGAAAATCAGAAATGACATACATATAAAATCAGTAATGACAGATCCATGTACAAATACATATAAAACTTCATAATTTTGTAAACCATCCTAAAACATGTTGAGTAACAGATTGAATGTTTATTATGACAGAAAGTCGATTTTCTCATTCCGAATGACTGATTAGCATCTTTATTAGAACATAGTAACTGAAACCAAGAGAATTAGTGAAACGCGTTTCTTTTTTATGGTATGTATCTTTTGTTTTATTTCATAACTGATAATGAAGGAAGCATTCTCTCAAGAACTGCGAGTTTATGACACTGCGCCAAAAAGGTTGTGAGATGATACATCGATTCATGTCATTATTATGTATATTTAATTTTCATTGTTAGTTATTAAGGCTTTTTCATTACAATATATGCTATTGATAACTTAACTTTGTATGTTGGACTTGAACTTTTCCAAAATCAAGGTAAATTTCTACTTTACACGAATCGTTGCTTTTATAAACATTTAATACATATATATAATAGTATCTATGTGTAAGGGCTAACAAAAACGATTATCTTTTGCCCAACCACTAGAACTTTGTGTTTTTAAAATTTTATATTCTAATTATAATTGTTTTTGTTACATTTTATATTCTAATTATAATTGTTTTTGTTACATTTTATATTCTAATTATAATTGTTTTTGTTACATTTTATATTCTAATTATAATGGTTTTTATTACATTTTATATTCTAATTATAATTGTTTTTGTTACATTTTATATTCTAATTATAATTGTTTTTGTTACATTTTATATTCTATTATAATTATAATTATTACATTATAATTTTTAAGATGGTTAATTTACATTAGGCAAGATTTTATTATAAGAAAATAATAATTTCAACCTGAGGTTAAGTAGAGGACTAATTAATCTTGTTTTTCTTGAAATTATTATTCGTGCTTCAAGATCTTATCAGAATCGATTGAATTATTGTTATGTCCAGTAATTCTTTTAGGACAGAATTTATTTATTCCGATTATTTGATAAATGGAAATACGAAGTATTATTCAAACATAAGATTCTTGCAAATAAAAGAGGCTGAATTTATAGTGAAATTTCCAATAAAGATATGTTTTGGATTGTATTATTATGATCCAACATTGACTTTTGGTACATCGCCACTGCACGAGCCACCGCAAGCACACCATCACTTCAAGCGTTGGATTTAATTTGGATTTCTACTAATGTTTATTGAGAACTTTAATTATTAGGACTTGTGTCTATAATTCTAAGATTATTTAGAGTTGATTCAAAATACCGCAAGTTCCTGTTTTTACATATTCACTTTGTATTCTAGGGAAATAAATTATTTGCTGAATTTTACAAGCCCAGTTGCTTCTCACTTCTATTACTTGTTTTAGGACCATGAGGTGGAAATAGCAACACATCGCTAGTTTAAATAGTTTAAATGATGATTTATGATCAGTTCACATTGTTTGTTGGCTTTTCCTATTGATTATATGTTATGTACATAAGTATTTTGCACTTGTCCTTAGATCAAAATCAAGTTGATGGTTTACCTGACCAGGGACATTTTTTTTCCATCAACAACATACGGAATAGTTAATATTTGTCTATCATTGTGGATTAAATATTCAGATCATTATCAGTGGAGGTATACATGTATATTTGAACCAGAGTATTGGACATCAGTTTTACACTTGGAAATTCTTACACTTGTTGACAAATTTGAATCTTTTTAATGTTTTATAAGGAAACCGACATACATTCCGGCTCTGTTACTGTGTCTTAACTGTTTACCGCAGGTTGTTTACTTTTAAATTATTTATTATTGCCTTAACATCTACACCAGAATCAGTCTTTATGTTGTGTTCAGTTTTTAATTTGGTTGAATTTATTTATTC